TGTTCAAGTATATATCTATAATTGCCAGCATGATCCGGTAATTTGTTTAAGTATATATCTATAATTGCCAGCATGATCCGGTAATTTGTTTAAGTATATATCTATAATTGCCAGCATGATATCCGGTAATTTGTTTAGGTTTATATCTATAAATGTCCCCATGATCCGGTAATTTGTTTAAGTATACATCAATAATTGCCAGCATGATCCGGTAATTTGTTTAAGTATATATCTAAAATTGCCAGCATGATCCGGTAATTTGTTCAAGTATATATCTATAATTGCCAGCATGATCCGGTAATTTGTTTAAGTTATATCTATAATTGCCAGCATGATCCGGTAATATGTTTAAGTATATATCTATAATTGCCAGCATGATCCTGTAATATGTTTAAGTATATATTTCTAATTGCCAGCATGATCTGGTAATATGTTTAAGTATATATCTATATTTGCCAGCATGATCCGGTAATATGTTTAAGTATATATCTATAATTGCCATCATGATCCGGTAATTTGTTTAGGTTTATATCTATAATTTTCCGCATGATCCGGTAATATGTTTAAGTATATATCAATAATTGCCAGCATGATCCGGTAATTAATTGAAGTAATATCTATAATTGCCAGCATGATCCGGCAATTTATTGAAGCAATATCTATAATTGCCAGCATGATCCAGTAATTTGTTTAAAAGTACCATTGCTTGTTTTGCCAAAATACCGCTCTAGTGGTTTATTTGATTTTCGGGTATTCCATAAAAAAAATCAGTTATTTTTACAGAAACTATCCGATCAAATAATACTTGTATGCTTAAACATGCTAAAAAACTGTTTTTAAATAAAGGAAACGTTAATATACAAAAACCTTAAACAAAAAAAAGATTAAACCAAAATTCTTAAACATCGTTTTCACACGACAAGCTGGTTTTTTTAATTACTTACAATGCATTAATTTTAAATATTTTTAAATAAAAAATAACATCATGATATATGAAGGATTAGAGAATGTAGAGAAAGGATGGGATAA